ATATAGACCAAAACGAATGCAAATAACAAATATTAAACGTCCAGTTGTATTTTCATAACAGTCATACGGTATCAGATATCAGCTCTATGTGTCAGACAAAAACCAGGTAACACTCCGGTCACTCATCAAATTGTTATTTTCCTGTTCTGTTACCGAGGAGCCAAACCCGTTCGAGACAGTCTAACGGTCACTGTATACTGTGTTACACGCATTGTAAGATTGTTCATAATCTCAGTTATAGAGATGAGAGAATTACAGTTATATATACAGTGTACATTATTGCATACAAGCCTTCCGTATTTTTTTCATTCCGTGATATTGATTAACAAATTGTACCAAATCGCACAGTTGTGCGGAGAGAAGCGCACATCGGGGCGAACGATTGTTAAATCGCACAGTTGTGCGCACCATTTGCGGACGATGTGCGGACGGTGTGTGAACGATGTATGCACGTTGTGCGCACGGTATTTTTGGTGCGTTGTGCAGTCACACAACTGTAGCTATAGAAACCGCCTGACTGTACGTGAATCTAGCTATAGAGACCGCCTGACTATCAGACAATAAAGCTATCAAGACATCCTAACTATAAGACAATCTAGCTTTAAAAACCGCCTGACTATAAGTGAATCTAGCTATAGAGACCGCTATAGAGACCGTCTGACTATAAGTGAATGTTGCTACAAATACCGCCTGACTATAAATGAATATAGCTAAAATGACCGCCTACTATATGACAATATAGCTACAGAGACAGCCTGACTATAAGTGAATGTAGCTATAGAGACCACCTGACTATAAGTTAATCTAGCTATAGAGACAGTCTGACTATACGTCAATGTAGCTATAGAGACCACCTTACTATAAGTCAATATATCTATAGAGACCGCCTAACTATAAGTGAATCTAGCTATAGAAACCGCCTGACCATAAGATAATCTAGCTATAAGGAGCGCCTGATTATAAGGACTGTCTGATATTTAAGACCACACGCCAAAAATGTTCATATACCTTGTGTTGTTTTCTGCTTATATAACATGACAACATGTACCTCTCTAAAAGGACAATATGTCCGCAAAGACCATTTATCTATCATGACTGACCTTTTCTTGCCTCCTTGTGCGATATTTATGAACAAGTTTCACTGTATGTTAAATTGTATATAAAGAGGTAAAGAAGAACAAAGTATGGCCTTACTATATTTCTACTTACCTCGATCCCGCACTCCCAGTTTATCTATCTGATGCTCCAATTTGTCAGACTCTAGTTAAGTATTTCACAGTCTTGATTACCAACAGTCAGAGCTATTACATCCCCGCCTAACGTTGTCTATGCCAGCCTCCAACTCGACTACGTGTGTCCATGCATACTGCATACCTATCAAGTGACAATATTGGTACGACACAATGTGCAGTGGTTCGTATCAATGCGGCTACCACGTCAACTATACAATATTTGTTAATTGTTACTCTATTTTTATTGCAATTCAAAATAGAAGCTTATATCTGTTGTTCGTGGTTTTACTTACAAACGTATCAATCAACACAGCTATGACACTGATATAAACACTACATCCTTGTCGTAGTAGCTAACTACTGACTTCTTCTGCCAAATTCTGAATACTGAATTATAAATAAGATTTGTAACATTTCATTTTTCTAAGTACAATGTTATATTGTATGTATCGCTCACATGTGTCTTTTCTTATCAGAACAGAAAGTAAATGACGTAATCTAGGACAAATTTTGACAACTCTAATGTAAGTTGTTTGGATAATAGCCTCGATATGGATACGCCGTCAGATAGAAATGGCGTTTACAATACACCGTCGGTGAAGATGATGTCCTCTAAAGTAAACCATCAGACTGCTAGCCTACTCTAAATAAGCCTTAAGGCGAAGGATATCGTGAAAATAATCCTGTCAGTTAACTTACGACGTTTTAGGTAAGCTGTAGGGTAATTAACGTCATTAGAAAATAGATTTTAGTAATGTCAGTTCTTATATATATATTGTTTTATTCACGCATTTGCAAAGGTTGTTGGAGAAGAATGAACAAATCAGTCATTGTAAGGTGTAAGTACTCTAAAACGGGAAACACGTACTTGACAAATCCAATCCCATCAGCTTAGTTGTTTTGTAAGTTTGTCACAGTATCGAGAGTGCTCGTGAGCTCTAGCAAATATTTGTAGCCAAAAAACCTTCAACAGAACATTTAAGTTAAATAAACGGCAACATACCATCTACGATGACGACATCTGAAACCATTTCATCATTCGTGACGTCATACTACCAGAGGGGATAATGAACTAGCAAAGCCCCTCAATATCAAATCACACGCGTTGTATGTTTATCACGTGAAAAGGACCATGCAGATAATGTAACACGTTAGCATAATTGAATAGAAATTGTCACACAAAACATTACAAAATATCAACTTTTTTGGTCAAGTTTTTACCTCTTAAGTTGTTTGTTATTCTTGGGATGGATTTAGATTGTCAATGAGATATTTTATTAAATAGTACATGTAGCACCACAAAAATAGCAATATAAAAACGTTGTCTATGCTCTAAGATGGATTCTGCGCTCAATCCAACTTGCTTGTAACTTGTATAAGTCATGCTACAAGTCAAATGGGAACATTTAAAACAGTATTCAACTTTAACAGTTGTTATAAAGTGGTTCATTAAGCTTTATTTTGTACTACAGGGCGTTAAACAAACCGTGATACAGAAATCATTGCCTAAGCTTTACAAATACATGTACATCGGTTGATTCTGTATTTACAGTAGATGATTCTGTATTTACAGTAGATGATTATGTATTCACAGTAGATGATTCTGTATTTACAGTAGATGTTTTTACAGTAGATGAATATGTATTTACAGTAGATGATTATGTATTTACAGTAGATGATTCTGTATTTACAGTAGATGATTCTGTATTAGATGATTCTGTATTTAAAAGTAGATGATTCTGTATTAGATGATTCTGTATTTAAAGTAGATGATTCTGTATTTATAGTAGATGATTCTGTATTTACAGTAGATTTATTTATAGTAGATGATTATGTATTTACAGTAGATGATTCTGTATTTATAGTAGATGATTCTGTATCTACAGTAGATGATTCTGTATTAGACGATTCTGTATTTAAAGTAGATGATTCTGTATTTATAGTAGATAATTCTGTATTTACAGTAGATGATTCTGTATTAGACGATTCTGTATTTAAAGTAGATGATTCTGTATTTATAGTAGATGATTCTGTATTTACAGTAGATTTATTTATAGTAGTTGATTCTGTATTTACAGTAGATGATTCTGTATTTATAGGAGATGATTCTGTATTTACAGTAGATGATTCTGTATTAGACGATTCTGTATTAAAAGTAGATGATTCTGTATTAACAGTAGATGATTCTGTATTTATAGTAGATGATTCTGTAATTACAGTAGATTATCCTGTTTTTACATTAAATGGTTTAGTATTGACTGAAGATGATTAGGTATTTACAGCAGAAGTATTTACAGTAGATGTATTAACAGTATATGATTCTGTATTTACAATAAATGATTCTGTATTAGATGATTCTGTTAGTACAGTAAATGGAGACTGGACAGACTGGACAGCGTTTATGCTTACTCTGTGACATGTTCATATCACGGATCTCCAATTGAGGGGAGAAAAGAACGAACACGTTATTGCACAAATCCCCGCCCCCAACATAACGGCAAACCGTGTGAAGGATCTAATATAGAAAGAGATACTTGCTGGCAGACGGACAGTTGTCCCGGTAAGTAGGCATACGGCCAACATGCATGTCGTAATGGCGTCCCAGGGACCACATGGCATGGATACTTGATGTCACATGATCCATTGTTATCCCGTTTTGTAGCCACAGTAACACCATGCGTGTGTCATATATGCATAATTCAATTGTTTTCTCTTTTAAAAGCTACAGAAATTACATGTATTTGTCCCGGGACATATTTCTTATTTTTTTCTAATTTACAGATTTATTTGAAATAATTGTCTGAGCAATACCAATACATGTATGTTGTTACTTTACAAAATTATCAATTTTACAGATAAGTTATGATATTTACAGAGGTAGACTTTATTTCGTAGGATAAGCATGTAATGACTATATAACAAACATCCAACTATTTCAATAATGTCAAATATGTGACGTATACATATGCTTATGAAGATTATATAATCCTGAGTAAGGCGCGCGTGATAAACACCTCTGGTATACAAATATTCGATTATTTCTTGTCTTCCGGAAACGCATGTTGTAGAATTATGTGGCTGCTATTTTCTAGACATATCTAGCAAGTATGTATGTACGACAAATATTGATGACGTGCACTAGTAGAAACTAAACTCGCATGAAAAAGTCTGGAAATTTGTACACAATTTTAAACGCTTAGCAAATGAAAGCTTATACGGATTAATTGGCTGTCGTTAAATCAATCTTTACATGCTAAAATCTGAATTCTGTTGGGACAGCACAAAGTGAACAATATTTTAACACGGTCTCAAAATAACTGAATGCCTATAGTTATTATTGGGTAAGCCCTTTGCCATATAATCTCTTGTATGGACGTTGTTGGGTATGACACGTATATGTATGCATGAATGCGACAGTCAAATATGAGCAAATTGTATGAAGGCGTGAGGCTGATACATAAATGATGTCGCACATACCTATTCATTCTTCGATGAATACAAAAATGACCCCTGGTATAATAACAAACGCTGTTTTAAACAAACCTAGAGGGGAAAACAACTGTACTATTGGACAAAATCCAAACAAAACAAAAATGAACGATTACTTTATAAAACTTTAACAGTGATGTTAGTACTTTAGTCAAAATGGATTGTTCTTGTACAGAATCGTATTTTGTAAGTTATAAAGATAGTCATAAGAGTTGGAGCGTTTGAAATGCAAATATGTGTGTATTTATTTTATTTCATGTGTTTTATCGGCAACTTCCTCTACCGCCATTGTCTCTTATGCCTGGCTGATGACGTATCAACAACTACAGCACACGCTGATGACGTATCCACTACTGCAGTACCCGTTGATGACGTATCTACTACTGCAGCACATGCTAATGACGTATCCACTACGGCAGCACACACTGATGACGTATCCGCTACTGCAGCACACGCTAATGACGTATCCACTACTGCAGTACCCGCTGATGACGTATCCACTACTGAAGCACAGGCTGATGACGTATTCACTACTGCAGAACCCGCTGTTAGCGTATCTACTACTGTATCACACGCTGATGACTTATCCACTACGGCAGCACACACTGATGACGTATCCAGTTCTGCAGCACACGCTGATGACGTATCCACTACGGCAGCAGAGGCTGATGACGTATCCACTACTGCAGTACCCGTTGATGACGTATCTACTACTGCAGCACATGCGAATGACGTATCCACTACTGCATCACACGTTGATGACGTATCCACTACTGCAGTACCCGCTGATGACGTATCCACTACTGCAGCACACCCTGATGACGTATTCACTACTGCAGTACCCGCTAATGACGTATGAACTACTGCAATATTATTTGATAACGTATCTACTTCTGCAGTACTCGGCGGTGACGTTTCCTCTACTGTTGATGACGTATCCACTACGGCAGCACACACTGATGACGTATCCGCTACTGCAGCACACGCTAATGACGTATCCACTACTGCAGTACCCGCTGATGACGTATCCACTACTGAAGCACAGGCTGATGACGTATCCACTACCGCAGTACCCGCTGATGACGTATCCACTACTGCAGCACACCCTGATGACGTATACACTACTGCAGTACCCGCTAATGACGTATCAACTACTGCAATATTAGGTGATGACGTATCTACTTCTGCAGTACTCGGCGATGACGTTTCCTCTACTGTTGATGACATATCACCTACTGCAGCACTTGGTGATGACGTATCAATTTCTTTATTACTCGATGATGACGTATCTACTTCTACAGTTCTCGGCGGTGAAGTGTCAACTATAGCAGAACTAAATGCTGCTCAAACTCAGGTGATTACATCAACAGTCTCTGATTACGTCTCTGCTTCATTGATTTCAAATAACCTGCAAACCACACCGTCAATAGATACTGGTGCTACCATTTGGTCAGCACCTGATGATTCAAACCAGCCTACTTCCACCTCATCGGTATCTGCGGGCTGTAGCTGTAATTGGTTTCGTTGTAATCCTGACTTTGAAGAGCTACATAGCAAGGTAAAACAGCTGAAAGCTGCATTACGGATCTTCCGAAACCAGACAAGTTTATATAAACGCAGCCTAACTTCAGCACACGACACTCGCCCGTCAGCACATGCTGTTGGGTACGTTGGTTCTGTGTTACTGGCAAGTATCGGGCTATTTCTAATAGTCGTTGATAGAGGAAACCTACTACAGATGATGAACACAATAAAAAGAAATCTGTGTTCTCTGTAGTTTGTTCCAAGAAGTCATATCTGATTTATGAAAACTGGCTGCCGAAACCTGATATTCATCTATAACACTTTTGTCATTTTTGTCCACCATTAGACAGGTTCCTTTCAGCAGGCTTGAGTTAGATCTTTAAGAGGAAAACATACAATGTATCACTGAAATTTCTCTGCAAAAACCCGAGTTTATTAGTGTAAACCATGTTAATGGCCTGACTGATGCCATAAGACCATGGCCGTTGAGAGGACGTTAATCTATATATAACAGTGGTAAAATATTGTCAGGAAATTGGCAAATATATCCTTGTTTGAACTTCTGACTGTTTTGGTGTATTAGTAAGTGATGTTGGTTTCAGTGAATTTACAAATATTGTGAACTTCGATGAGTATTTTATTATTTTGTCTAACATGTTTACATGCCCTAACAATGTATATATATAAGGATAAAAATGTTAAATTCTATCGGGAAAACTTTTGTTAAAACTGCAGTCATAAAACTCTATAAATAGTATAAACATATTGGTTTGAAAAGGTTTAAATGTGAATGACTTATATATTAATTGTATGTCTAGTATAAGCGTGTGAAACCAGAAGAAGGGTTGAGGCCGATTAAATTCTCACCTGTCAAGTAAAAGCCTCGCACCTCTTAGTAGTGGACAAACCGTTTGCATTTCATTGGTTAAGGCTTCATCGATGTAACTTTTGGCTTAACTGGGCTTTTGATCGGCATCCATTTTCTCGACGTTTCTGTCTGCCTGCTTGGTCGACAACGTTTTAGCATGGACATCGCCATGTTCTTTTTTCTGAGTGTGGTATCAACACGGAAAGTTGCTAACGTTTATGATGAAAAAAAAAAAACCAGATAAGAGAGAGGAACGAAGGTTAGCGGCACGGTACCTTTAAACTCTTTTAGATCTATGTTAATGCTATACAGCTCAACCTTAACGTATCAATTGTAAATCAGAATGTAAATATACAGACCTAATTTTGGTAAATCGCTGAACTCGTCATTTTGCTGGATCTATATTTGGCAGACTTCTAGTCTAGCGGCAATGGCTAAATATGCCAATGTAAGGATGGATGAACTTGATATAATTACATTTTGTGAGTTGTTATTCCCAAAAAATGAAACACCGCAAGAAAATACAGACATTACATTATTTTTCAAACCTGAAACGCATGTATATCTGCCATACATGATTACATTTCTACCATAAACTTGACTGTATCTACCTAACACTTCCCAAAATAGAGATTTACATTTCTATCTTAAAACTGCACTGTATCTACCTTACACTTCCCAAAATAGAACTTTACATTTCTATCTTAAAACTTGACTGTATCTACCTTACACTTCCCAAAATAGAGCTTTACATTTCTATCTTAAACGTAGCTGATTTGTTTATATGTCTAGCTCATATACTTACCTGGAAGATTCACACCTTGACCTTAGTCATTTACATTGTACGTCAAATGTTTATCCTTTTACTTTTGCACCCTAACCTTTTTATTTGTCTTATTTTAACATTATTGTATTTGTACCATTTTTTTACAATGATAAAAAAATATTCATATCATTACAAGTAGGATACAATCATCCCCATCAAATGTTTGAAGCCGTTGTGTATCGACTCACATCTTTAAAGCATTATAACTCACTATACATATAAGGGCACATACACATGTATATTTCTTTATTTGCTTTGCTGCGTTATTACTTCATCAAAAAAAATCATGTTCACATTTAGACCATTTTATCAAAACTAAGATGATCCTACGCGTGCCTTCATCCCTGAGTTCATCGTCATTACGTAAATAATAAAGTTCAAAAGTGTTTGTAGGATGGATATTAAAGTAGATGGAAATGTATAGATAAATAGCCCAATAGCGTCCTTATTAAGATCATTTTAAATTTACATAATAAAAATAATAATAATAATTCGTGGTTCTTATATACCGCTTTATCACAAACTAGTTCGTAAGTCGTCTCAAAGCGGTTCACAAATAATTTCCGTGGTTATAGGGCTTTTGCATCCAGCCAATATCTTTCTCAACTCCCCAGGGGGCATACAGCCGGTGCTGCCATTTCGGCGCTCACAGCTAGCATTCTACAATTCTAGTACTTCCCAACCACGTAATCATTTACAGCTGAGTAGACTGGAACAAGCGGAATTAAGTATCTTGCTCAAAGATACAACACCGTGCCGTGCCGTGAGTCGAACCCGCAACCCTTCCGTCACGAGCCCGGCGTCCTACCACTGGACGCTAAGATGATCTTACAGTAGCGGATTAATTATTTATTTCATTTTATAAGGTCGATGTATACACACCATATATATTGTTTAGCGTCACGTTACGGTCAGACTTATCGTTGTAACGGTTGACTACCTTGCTGTCTTTTTAAAGGCCCCTAAAATTACCTAGGAGTCCCAGAAGAATATTACCTGATGACATAGGTGCAACCACAAATAGATGTCTTACGTTCATCTGATAATATAATAACATGTTTTCCCCTTTATTGTAATTAAATTTGTTGTGCTTTAATCAAGCTACTCCGTATGATTTTCAGTGCCTTACAACATGACTAACAACAATACAGTGGTGTGTTGTTCTTGTAAGTTTATTAGCAACACATTCATTAGCCCACTAAATCACCTGTGGTCCATGGTCCGGGGTCCATCCACCCTTAAACAATTCATGTCATTGCTATTTCTCAGACAGTACTGGCGGGATCCCTTTGGTCCGTAGTTGTGAATGTTTACTTTTGAGACTGATCAAATAAAAGAAAATGGGATTTTGAAAGTGAAGGTTTGTTATCGCTATTTCTCAGGAAGCACGAGGAGGGAATCTTAAATTTGATATGTAGGTTCTCCTTAATTTCTCGATGTGAATATTAATTTTTGAGACTGAACAGGCGGCAGGCGGCAATCTTGGATGTTTGACAGCGAAGGTTCATTAACGCCATTTCTCAGGAAGTACTTGAAGGGTCTTTCTCAAATTTGATATGAAGGTTCCCCTTGGTTCCATGTTCTGCATGTTTACTTTCGAGAGTGATAATAAAAACAAGATGTCCGCCAGGTAGTCATCTTGACTTTTGAAAATTAAAATTATCGCTATTTCTCAAATAGTGCCTGACAGATATTTCATAAGGTTCCCCTTGATCAATAATTGTTAATGTATTATTTTGTCCATGCTTATTTTGATTTTGTTTGCAAGAAGAAAATGGCCGCAGGCGGTCAACTCGGATTTTATCATTTCAAGAATATTATCACTTTTTCCCAGGAAGTTTTTAACAAATCTTTCTCAAAATGCAATTATCGGGCCTATATCTTTCACATAACCGTACATTCAGTACCATACTAGTAAATACGTGAAACGACAAACTCACTTTAAAGGTTTTCTTTTATACACAGCAGTATGAAGTTTAGATCAAAAGTTACCTCAAGGTGCATTTACTGTTTATATGACTTTATCAGATAAGAGAAAAGAAGAGAAAATATCGAACTGACGTACAACAAATGAAGATGGTACGATGGTGGGCACCCGAAATTCCTCTTGGATCTCTCTTGTTGTCTGGAGGCGATGCACATTCAATCAATGTAAACAAAATATTATTTATTAAACATACACATGTTTTTGCTCGTCTTTGAAAGTGGCAGAAGCTATTTTTATACACATTGTTACTTATATATATATGAATTTCATCGATTTGTAATTCGAATTACTCCGGTTTAATTTATACTTTGGTAAACAAACAAATATTTTTTTGTGAGGAGTCCCTCAGATAAATCTCACTATTTGTGGGTAGTCCCTCAGATAAATATCAATATTTGTGAGTAGTTCCTCAGATAAATATCAATATTTGTGAGTAGTCCCTCAGATAATTATCAATATTTGTGAGTAGTCCTTCAGACAAATATCAATATTTGTGAGGAGTCCCTCAGATAAATCTCACTATTTGTGGGTAGTCCCTCAGATAAATATCAATATTTGTGAGTAGTCCCTCAGATAAATATCAATATTTGTGAGTAGTTCCTCAGATAAATATCAATGTTTGTGAGTAGTCCCTCAGATAAATATCAATATTTGTGAGTAGTCCTTCAGACAAATATCAATATTTGTGAGTAGTCCCTCAGATAAATATCAATATTTGTGAGTAGTCCCTCAGATAAATATCAATATTTGTGAGTAGTCTCTCAGATAAATATCAATATTTGTGAGTAGTCCCTCAGATAAATATCAATATTTGTGAGTAATCCCTCAGATAAATATCACTATTTGTGAATAGTCCCTCAGATAAATATCACTATTTGTGAGTAGTCTCTCAGATAAAGTCCCTCAGGTAAATATCAATATTTGTGGGTAGTCCCTCAGATAAATATCAATATTTGTGAGTAGTCCCTCAGATAAATATCAATATTTGTGAGTAGTCCTCAGATAAATATCAATATTTGTGG